CATCGGCACGTCTGGACCACCCTCTCGGGGCCTTCAGCCTATCCGGACCGCTTGCCGGGCCTTCGGCCTGACTATGTGCCCTCCCAGGTTTGCAGTCTATCCGGTCCTCCCTGGGTATGTTGGCGTACATCACAAAGCAGGAAACGCCTCAACCCAACCCCAATCAAACAACCATGTGCACATATAACAGGTATTCACATAACAGTCCATAGACAAACAAACCGATCTAGCAGATCATATAGCATAGCAACATCCTAACCAGGATACCGACGTAACCGTTCACTAACATAACATCATCCTACATACCAAGATACCGACCTAAACCAGGTCACTAACATAGCAGCATCCTACATACCAGGATACCGACCTAAACCAGGTCACTAACATAATATCGTCCTAATTACCAGGACGTCGATCTAACATATCAATAAGCATATCAAACAAATACCAGTATACAATCCGAGAAAGGGTCGGCCTTGGTGCCTTAGACCCTGTTGATATAGTGAGAATAACTCACCTCGCAAAGCCGATCTGAAATGAAGAATCAAATTCCCGAATCACCGACTCGCCAAAAATCCCAACTATCCAAAATAGCGAGCAATAAGTCAAAAATAGGAATATTAATCTTGACCAAGAATCCCACAAATAATATTAGTCCAATTTTCCTTTTCTCTCATTTGGGCCAAGGCCTAATACCAATCCATGATCTACAAGTCCATATGTGTAAGGCCTAATATTGTCCCAATTTACCAAATTGGGCCCAACTTCCTAAATAGGCCCAACTCCAAGATCCACTATCAAGACTTGGTCCAAAACACCATATCCATAAAATCCAGCAAATGCCCAAGCCCAACTAGTCCATAAACAGCCCAACACCCGAAGCCCAAATCACAAAAAGCCCATAGAAGTCGTACGCTGGGCGTACCCCAAGGCTACGCGGGCGCGTACATGAGTCTCGCGTTGACTAGAAAACGGGGTCATTGACCCAGTACGCTGGGCGTACAGAACCTTACGTGGGGCGTTCGTGAGTTTTGCCAAAACTCTAATAAGTGCTTAATGGCTTAAGCACTTAAGCCCAAACCTCAGATTCAGTGACCAAATGTGCCTAGGACTCATAAAGTCTCGAAATTTAACACTTTGGACGACTAGAAAGCTCTTAATCTAAGGTCTTAATCCATTAAGACCTTCCTACTACATGCATGGGATATCTTAAGCCATTGAGACCTCATTTTTAACACTCAAAACCCCTTCAAGAGTCTGAAAGGACAGCTCATCTCGTCCAAATCATCACATGCACCATTTTGGGACAAGAACTCTTTCATAAAGCTAAAATGACTAGATCTACCTCATACAAGTGTAACGTTCCAAGCTTTTTACCTTCTGGAGCTTCTAGGGCACAAACCAACTTTAGATCTACAAGCTTGATCTTCTTCTCCAACTCCTTGATGCAATGTCTTCACCTTCAAGAGCTCAAAATGCACACCAACTCACACTCAATAAGCTCAAACTCACAAGGAAAGGCTAGGGTTCTCTCAAGACTGCTAAGGGAGGTGTGGAGGCTGAATAAGATGAGAGGGAATGGTCCATAAAGTGTTTAAATACTCCACAAACCCTAAAAGTTAGGGTTCCTTCCTGGAACACGTACACCCAATGTACACATGTGTACGCCCAGCGTACTAGGGCGCGCCCTAGTACGCTTAGCGTACCATATGTACGCCCGACGTACTACTTCACTCCCAAAACTATTGTTTCCACCAGGGCCTCCTTTTGCTACTTCCTTCCAAACTAAGGGTTAAAAGTGACATAATCAAAACTCGGGGGATGAATTTTGAAGCTTCTTGAAAAATGGGATGTTACATTGGGTGGGGTCCGTTATACTCAGTGGGTGGGGCCCGTTATGCGAGTTTAGGTGGGGCCCGTTATACTCAGTGGGTGGGGCCCGTTATAGTTAGTGGGCAGGCCCGTTATACGAGTGTGGGCGGGGCCCGTTACACTCATTGGGCAGGGCCCATTATGTGTTAATTTATGTATGGTATGTAGTATTTTGGGGAACTCACTAAGATTTGGGCTTACGGTTTTCATTTTATGCTTCAGATACTTCCGGATCGAAAGGGAAGAGTCTGGGATGATTGCAGAGCACACACCACCTTTTTCCGCCTTTTGAGATTTACTCTGATATGTTTTGATGTAGTGACATACTTTGGTCTTTTAGGGTTGTATGACAATGTTTGGATTAATGTTTTTATTAAATCAAAATGAAATTTTTGGGTCTTATTTTTGGGACTTTATATAGCATGTCCAATAAGTGCTTAACTCAAGGTCTTATTCCATTAAGACATTCTAAATGATGCATGGGGCAAAACTAACCACTTGGAATCCATTTTTATGACTCAAGACCCTTCCAAGGGTCTGAAAGGATAGCTTAATGGGTCAAGAACATGTTTTGTTCATGAATCATCATTTTGGGAAAAAAAAGTAACTTAATAGAGCAAAAACCTAAATCTACAAGATAAAGGGGGTAAAGATGCAAGCTTTATACCTTCAAGATGTTCCAAACCAAGTAGCAATCCTAGATCCAAGGTGCACTTCAACTCTAACATCTTCTCACCACCTTCTTATTTCTTCCAAACCACACCAAATCTCACTTAAGGCTCAAAGTTGCTTTTCTTTCGCTCTAGGGTTGCTTGGGGGTCGATATTATAAATGGATGCTGAGTAAGAAGAGGGTTTGAGTCTATAATGTTGCTTAATTTGAACCAAAGCCCTAAAATTAGGGTTTGCATGCCACCCTCGTACGCCCAACGTACTAAGGTGCGCCTTAATACGCTTAGCGTACACACATGTATACATGACGTACTCATCCGACTTAATTTCCACTAAAAGCCAATTTGGGCCCCTTTCACTATTTCTCAACTTATGGACCAAAATGCAACATAATAAAATCATAAAGCCCAAGATTAGAAGTGCCTTAACATCGGGATGTTACATGGTCAACATGCGAGTATGCCCAACGTACCAAGGGAGTACGTCCCCGCGTACTCACTCTGTGGTGACTCGGCTGGGTTGACTTGACCAGTTTGACTTTGACCAAGTTTGTCTTAAGGGTATTTTTGGGATTTTGATTGAGATTGGTCATTTGGTTGCAATAGGTGACGATTAGAGCTAAGATTCGGAGTCGAGACCTCATCAGCTTTTGTCCAGTTTGTGAGGTGAGTTTTCCTTACTGTACTTACGGGGCAAAGGCACCAAGGCCGGCTCATTGGATTAGATATCCTGTTATGTGATAGTATGTCATCGTGTTGTAGTGATCTGTTAGATCGGTATCCTGGTATATAGGATGATGTTATGCTTAACGATCCTTTAGATCTGTCTGATTGTTTGTTGACTGGTTATATGTATGTTTATCTGTTATGTATATGTCGGCATGTTGTGTGTGGTTGGGTTGAGGCGAACCAGTGTAGAATGAAGGCCAAGAGACCTAGGGCGTCTCGGATAGACTACAGGTCCGAGAAGCATACCAGTCAGGCCCTAAGGCCCAAAGAACGGTCCAGATAGGTTGAAGGCCCGGTGAGGCGTTCCAGTCATGCTGAAGGTTCTGTGAGCGTTCCAGATAGTCTGTAGGCCGGTGCGGCGTTCCAGTCAGGCTGAAGTCTCTGTATGTATGTTGTTTGTTATTATGTTTATATGGTGGTACTTTGGGGGAACTCACTAAGCGTTGGCTTACAATTTTTAGGTTATGTTTCAGGTACTTCGGATGACCGTGGGAATGCGAAGGCGTGACTGTAGACATCCTCTTATCATGAATTATGATTTTGGGAGACTCTGATGTTTGGAAAAATGTTTTAAAAACTCTGATTTGTAAACAATTTATGAATTTGGGTTGATTTTAAAAGTTTAAATTTATTGTGATTTTTATGGGTGTTACAACTTCTAACTCAGATTGATCCTTGAATTTGATGAATCTGACAAATACAAATCGTTTTCCTAACTTAGATAGCTTTCGAGCAATATAGACATAAGAAACATGCCCATATTGCTCACAGATTGACCAGAGTTTCTTAGAATCAACATCAGGATGGAAATTGGTAAAATAAAATGGAATAGAAACCTTATCAACATTCCATGCACCGTTCTTTTTATTGCCATTCTTCAAATCCCACTTTTCATTCCCCACTATCTGATCGCACCCATGACTGATGATAGGAAACACTCAACGAACTCTTCCAGAACTCTAAACAACAACTATTGGACAAAGGATGATACATCAGACGAAACTAGACGGGGAAACAGACAAAATTGGGCGAAACAGGGGATGACTGACCAACGTTTGATCCCGTCAGGAAGAGGAGCCCGATATCACCGGTTAGGTTATAAAATATATAAAAAATTACCGCCTTAAGTCGCGTTTTAAAAAAAACAATGACTCGTCATGTCACTTAAAGCTTGAGGCGTGAACTCGTCGTCAAATCACGTCTCATATTATTTAGATCGTAATTAACAGATTATTTAATGTTATAATGCTTATTTTTTAAAAATAAAATACTCTAATAAATAATAATTAAAAAAAACTAAATCGTAATAACTTTTATTTTTACTTTTAACCCTTAAATTTTTATAAGAAAACGTTTTTAGCATCAAACAATAAATTGTTAATAAAAGGGATTTTTTTTTTTTTGTTAGATTCACAAGATTGGGTGTTGGGTGTTTCATCGTGTTTTCAGTAGACCCTCACTCACGCCCAATACCCATTCACAAGTCGTTCAAGTCTTCCTTGATGGAGACTTCCAGAAAGAGAGTCCTTTCTTTCCACGTCGTATGAGGTAATTTCACCCAATCAAACACTGCCACGTAACACCAATCTGCAAAAACAGCCGTTAGATCTTCCACGTTGGCATCACCAGCCCTCATCTCACCCTTCATTCCTCGTGGCCTCCCTTTCTCTCTCTCACACACACTCACTCTTCACTGCTTCCCCAGTATAAAATATATTTGCCGAAGCAAACGAAGAGCATTTCGAAACCAAATCTCATAAAACCCACCCAAAATATTAAGAGTAGATCGAGAGAGATCGCAATGAGGAAGTGGACTCTTCCGTCCGTTTTGTTTCTGATATGTCTCCTCTTTCTTCTTCCAGATCAAGGTACGTTTTTAGGGTGTACTTTGTACTTCTACCATTTAATTGTTAATGTATCTTTAGATTCTGTGCGGAGCTTATTTAATTTTGTGTTCATTCGATTTCCATGTATTTAGTAACAAATTAGAAGGTTTGTAATGGGAACTGGGAAGTGTATCGTGAAGAGTTTAGATTTATTGTATACTATGTAACATGTTAACCATTTTAAATTATGTACTACTTATCTGATCACTGTTCTGCTAACAGTTTTTAGAATCGTAACTCAAATCGTTGATCTAGGGTCTTCTGTAATTTAACCTATGCGCTTGTTTGTAAATTGCGAGCGCTTTTTCGGATCAATAGGTTCTGTGATTTTTGAACTATACACTTTAAGGAAGTTGTATGATGTAGCGTAATGGAGGTTTCTCAACTAAATCGAGGCTTAGAATTTATTGCTTTGACGAACAAAGCTATGATATCTGACTAAGGAGGTGTTATCATAGTTATGTGACATTATTTAACAACTAAGCTTCGAATTGAAGAAAAAACACGATTTAGCTAAAGCAATTTCAAGTAAACGAAAGAAAGATCAGTCATTCGCTCTATTTTTAGAGTGTTTAGGATATAAGGTTGTGCAAGATATATGTTGAATATTATGTTCTAGAATTTCATAGTGTTTCTCAATGTCTCCTGGATGTGGTCTAATAATGTTTTTGTTTTTGCTTTATATAGGTCCAAAGTTACATGCGAATGCAGAAGCTGATTCAGATAAATTAGTGGATCCACCCAAGATTGAAGATAAGCTTGGTGCTGTTCCACATGGTTTGTCTACTGATTCGGATGTTGCCAAGAGGTTTGCTTAACCTTTTTTTTTGTATGATTTCCAGTATACCTAATTCATTCATGTGGTGTTTGAAAGCATGGCATCAAACCTTTGACTTTACAACATAACAAACACTTTTGAATTTAGCCGGTATTTGGTACTGTTGAATAGATTAATTCTTTTATTTCATATAAATAAACAATGCATTGCCTTATTGTTAATCATTTTCAGGGAAGCTGAGTCAATGTCCAGGAAAAGCCTCCGCAGCAATGCTGAGAAGTTTGAGTTTCAAGCTGAAGTATCTCGGCTTATGGACATCATTATCAACTCTCTTTACAGCAACAAAGACATTTTCTTGAGGGAAATAATCTCCAATGCATCTGATGTAAGTTTCCATCTTCATTTTTCCTTTTTCTGAAACCTAATTTTGGTACAACAAATCTAATTGTAGTTTCACATTCTTCTTTCTTCTTTCTTTAGGCTCTGGACAAAATTAGATTCCTCTCTCTTACTGACAAGGAGGTATTAGGTGAAGGTGATGACACCAAGCTTGAGATCCAGGTTTGTATATCCTTTATTTCTTCTTCATTTTATCTTTTTTCTTGGAATTCTGAAAACTAATACATGTAATAACATGCAGATTAAGTTAGATAAAGAAAAGAAAATCCTTTCCATCCGTGATAGAGGTGTGGGTATGACAAAGGAGGATCTAATCAAGAACTTAGGAACAATTGCCAAGTCTGGAACTTCAGGTATTGTGTTTAAGCAAACAGATTGACATAAGAGCATTCACTTTGTGTTTTTTAAATTCTTTAACACTGTTCTTATACTCTGTTCTTGTATTAGCTTTTGTGGAGAAAATGCAGACAAGTGGAGATCTTAATCTCATTGGTCAATTCGGTGTTGGGTTTTACTCTGTATATCTTGTTGCTGACTACGTTGAAGTCATCAGCAAACACAATGATGACAAACAGTATGTCTTCATGGTTTTATCCCATTTTAATTGATTTATTTAGATTCGATTTTAGTTTTTTTACTAACTTGTAACCTTTTAGGTATGTTTGGGAGTCAAAGGCTGATGGGGCATTTGCAGTTTCTGAAGATACATACAATGAGCCACTTGGTCGTGGAACTGAAATAAGATTGCACTTAAGGGAAGAAGCTGGAGAATACCTTGAAGAGTCAAAATTGAAGGATTTGGTGAAGAAATATTCTGAATTTATCAACTTCCCAATTTACCTTTGGGCTACCAAAGAGGTTGATGTTGAAGTCCCTGCTGATGAAGATGACTCCAGTGATGATGAAGAAAAACGTAAGTTTTTAATTTCTTTTAAATAAATTACACCATACTTGTAACTTCCATCTTCTAATATACATTTTTTTTTTGACAAATTTATCAGCAGAATCAACAGATGGGGATGAAGAGAAGGAAGAGGAAGACTCTGAAGATGAACCAAAACCAAAAACCAAAACCATTAAAGAAAAAACTTTCGAATGGGAACGTTTGAATGATGTTAAAGCTATTTGGTTGAGAAGCCCAAAGGAAGTAACCGAAGAAGAATACACAAAATTCTATCACTCTCTTGCCAAGGTAATCATCCATTCCATTCCATTCCTTTGTGATTCCATTCCATCATGCCAAATAAGACTCTTAGGGTTTATGGCTTTGTTCTGTATGACAGGATTTTGGTGATGAGAAGCCAATGGCATGGAGTCATTTCAATGCCGAAGGTGATGTTGAATTCAAAGCTGTTCTTTTTGTCCCTCCAAAAGCTCCTCATGATCTATACGAAAGCTACTACAATTCAAACAAATCTAACCTCAAGCTTTATGTTAGAAGAGTATTCATCTCTGATGAATTCGATGAGCTTCTACCCAAATATCTAATGTTCTTAATGGTATATAACAACATACTTCATTCACCTCTCTAATCAATTAACCAAAATCATCTACTATAACTAGTACTCTTTTCTTTCAATCAGGGTCTTGTTGATTCGGACACTTTACCACTTAATGTCTCACGAGAAATGCTTCAACAACACAGCAGTTTGAAAACAATTAAAAAGAAACTCATCAGAAAGGCCCTTGACATGATCCGTAAACTTGCTGAAGAAGACCCTGATGAATCCCATGATAAAGACAAGAAAGATACAGAAGTGGAAGAATCAAAGGAGAATGATGAGAAGAGAGGTCAATACACAAAATTCTGGAATGAATTTGGAAAGTCAATAAACTTGGAATCATTGAAGATGCAGCAAACAGAAAACCGTTTAGCAAACTTCTCAGATTCGAAACGTAAGAAAAATGGAATATCATATTATTTCTTTTTTCCTTTTTCATTTCGAAACGTAAGAAGAATTGATTTAATTATATTATACTATTACAGAACAAAGTCAGATGGGAAGCTGACATCACTGGATCAATACATCTCAAGAATGAAATCTGGACAGAAAGACATCTTCTACATCACAGGAAGCAGCAAAGAGCAGCTTGAAATCCCCCTTCCTTGAACGCCTCAAGAAGAAAAACTTTGAAGTGATTCTGTTCACAGATCCTGTTGACGAATACTTGATGCAATATTTAATGGATTTTGAAGACAAAAAATTCCAAAACGTGTCAAAGGAAGGTTTGAAACTCGGGAAGGATTCAAAGGATAAAGAAGTGAAAGAGTCGTTTAAAGAGTTGACAAAATGGTGGAAGGAAGCTCTTGCGAGTGAAAACGTTGATGATGTGAAAATTAGCAACCGTTTAGCTGACACCCCGTGTGTAGTTGTCACATCTAAATACGGATGGAGTGCTAATATGGAAAGAATCATGCAATCTCAGACTCTGTCTGATGCTAGTAAACAAGCGTATATGCGTGGGAAAAGAGTGCTTGAAATTAACGCCAGGCATCCCATTATCAAAGAGCTTCGTGAGCGAGTTGTCAAAAACCCTGAGGTAATTTTACAAAGTAAAAAATGGGTTAAATTAATGTTAATATTATATATATATATA